AATGATTGTTGTCCATTTTACCTTAAGTTCACCTCTATCACACATAAAACTTTCAGCATGTTGATTTCAACATTGTTCGTCATTTTGAGTCTTTGATTACTTTTTAATCCGTTCAGGTGCTGTATATTGGCACCGAACACTTCTACAGATTAACTTCTGTCAAGCAAAGTTCATCATAACAAAAAACGCTCAGTTTTATGCATTTTTGCCGTCTCAACGTCTATTCAGTGAAATTATTTGCTCGAAGCATATCTTAAACGCCAGCTTATCTTGTTCTCTTGCAACTTACGGTTTTGAAGTATTCCTACTCGATTACATAAATTAATAAACAACTTGACAGTTTGTCATAGTAAAACTAATTTTTGTAGAAGGAAGAAAGGATATCTAGGTTATCTTATTTTTGTTTCATGCCATAAATGCCTTCATCTCCCCCGTACATGCTATTATTATTTAAATATTTTTTATATGTTGTGACTCGTAAAGGCAGATCTAACTAATTTTAAACATATCCAAGCCTAATGTACTAGCTCTTCATCATCATTTATATTGTTTGAAACACGTTTTGTGTAGGCACTTTGTTCACAAAGATGTTTATATAACCATTAGCAGTTGGCGCCAGAAAATCTCGAGTTCAAGTGATATCTGTGGCAGAAGAGATAAACTTTTTATATCCATAAATCCAAGGATTACTATAGTAAATGCAGAATACTGAAACTTGTCGAATCCTATTTAAATTAACGTGACAGAATACGAAAATCAACAAGCGACCCAACCAAGATATAACGAATGAATACTATGTGACCATTTTTCATTATTGGTTGTCCAAATCGATGTTCAGAGCGAATTCTTTAAATTTAATAAAACGATATGTTACCGAAATTAGGTGCAAAAACGCAAATTGTTAAGGAGTGGAAAGCGTCCTAACTTTCTTACTTTCTGTAAATAAAAAATACCTGCTAACTGTATGCAAAAGCTAAATGTACCTTACGCATTTAAACACTAACAATGGAAGTTTGATGTTAAAAATCCTACGTCATCACAAGTATTGAAGTACGTGCACCTAAAATTATATAATGCATGCATCGAACTTTCACTTCAAGGCTTCAGCTTCAAAAACTAAATACTATATGCTGCTGCTACATGATAGTTTCCAATTCGTTATGCTTGAAACTATTCGATACCTTACTGGTTTCCATGATGTTGGCAAACTAAGATTCTGAAACGAAACATTTTCCGTACGGTCTTCATATCAACTGATTATTTGCTTAGTTTTCAAGTTATGTATTATTTATTTTATGCTATTGATTTCCAGCAGTCTTGGTGGCTTGAGAAGTCTTGTGAGTGATAATCCGTCGAGAAAAACACGTGGTTTTCATTCTAAGCAGACTTCGTCATTTGTAAAATTTATATGAATACAATTATTCGGAATAAAGAGAGGTTCGCTTCCTAGGACATAATTTATTTCATCCCCATTTATGTTGTTGTCCATTGTTAAAGTGTATTCAAAGTGGTAGTAGATAAATAAATATGGAAGTGTATTATCAAAAAACGTGGTTTCTGAGTTCACATCTTCATTGGGTACCAACAAGCCAAAACCGTGTCATATTTTGTCTGTGAATATTGAAGACTTTAGTACCAGATGATAAAATGCATTTCACTTCTGGATGTTACAGGTTTGCAACGAAATGGTCTGTAAATGTTTTAGTGCCCTTATTTTGGTGATAAACTGAATAAGCTAATTCAATAACCGTAGCAATTTCTTATTCAAAGGGCATCAAACTCATTTACTGTGTTTAAACTACATTCAGGTTAACATCATATATTTTCTTGTCTAGCAATAAATAAACAGTGTCTTGCAAGACATAAAGTTACTCCAATTTCTCATACTCAAGAATGTAACAAATTTCAGAACGGAACAAAGACTATACAAAAATTGGACCACACTGATGCTTAAATAATCATAACTTCTCTAAACTGGTAGATATTACCTACAACAATTAGGAATGATAATTTATTTCTAATAATTTACGAAGGTGAATGAGGCCGATAGTGACCTATTCATGAAATGAAAAAGGTTACAAAAATATGCAATCTGTCACAAAATATGACTTATTCATTAAACATTTATGAAATTTTATTCATGTGTGCACATTTGTTGTTATAAACTTTTTGCAAGATGGTTTCAGGGCATTTAATAATAAATACAACACTGGATTGGTTTTTAGTATTCTTCAAGGCTATTCAGTTTCATATCTGAAATAGTGCAACAAAAGTCTTTACGATTACAGGTTTTCTTAATATTGTCAAAATACTAAAAGGTTCCTCAGAGTTCTGAAAATTTATCGGTAAATTTAGGAACTGAATTTTGTTCTTAGGACAAAGAAACTGGCTCAGATGCTTAAGTAATAACTAGAACAGTATAAAAAAGCAGGATACTGTCGAAATGTCAATTTTATGTTACATTAAAAATATAAGTACCAATCAGTGTGCACCTTCATTATCTTGTAACACTGTAGAAATATTAGAATATATTCTGTTGAATAACTATTATCTTTTTTAAAATGAAACAAGGCTTCTAACATGCAAACACTTAATAATTTACTCATTTTTGTTTCGTTTTTGCAATTAGGACTCTTGCTTATTTGTTGACCGATATAATTTTAATGCAAAAGCAGCTATCAGTACACTAAATGATATTAAACAACTTCAGGCCAATGTGAGTTGATGTCAGTATTCTGTATTTTAAAATTTGATTTTTGAATTAACTTTAAATATGTCGACTTGATGTAACCATAAGATACAAGTGAATGGCCGAAAAACTGTTAATTTAATTGTTTCACAATATTAGTTTATCAAGAAAGCCATACGAATAATTGGAAACAAAAACGTGTTTCACCGCTAAATATCTATCAGATATTTTAAAAATAGCTGAAAATTTACAGTTTGTATTCAATAGTTTAAGAACTTCCAACCAGGTTTTTTACCTAATGATGTTTTAGACTGATCAAAACACGAGAACTTACTTCCGTATTAGCGATTAATGAAAAGTAAAGTAAATATGTTAAGAAATATCTTTTTATTTGTTAGTGGCAAACATGGACATTCTGTCCAGTTAGTGGACAAGTACAAGTGTGACTTTCTAAAATATATGATGCAGCAGCCTTATTTATTTCTAGAAGAAGTTTTTTTGCAGTATATTTGCTCATTCACTGCTTGAGTTACTTTAAGCATTCTCTATTTCCGTGTCCAGTTAGGAGTATATATACAGAAGATTTTTATTGAAATCGTAAATCCGTCTAAATTAGACAGTCATCGAAAACTAGGAAGTAAGTTTTTCTTCAATGTTTCTCCGTATTTATCTTACATATTTAGTTAGCTATCGGTAACTATACATGTTTGAAGTTCGCAAAACAAACAGTAAACCGCTGTTCTGGTATTGTATTTCAATGTGGCACACACCACAGAATCTAGATTGAAATATTTAATACATGCAGTAGGGAAAATTACTCAATTAAAACAAAAATTTCCATGAGTGTATGATCTCTCACGTTTCTCAGGTTTTGGTATAAACCATGGCAGCTCAGTTAATATGTTTGTGGGGCATATCACATGTTGTAGCTCAAAGAAAAAAGCATATATTAGACGAAGTTTTGAAATGTAGATGCCACGAAAACTGTAGTATACTAACAATTTGATCAGTTTGTTTCACTGGTCACTTGTATCAAAATACTCTTATTGGTGTCAATTGTTTCTTAACTGAAGTGTTTATAAAACAGTAGAAAATATCATACAAGTATAGATTAGAATGGTTTACTGCCGAAGGTTACTAATATATGACGAAAAGTTTGATCTTCGTTTAGAATATCAAATTAATATAAGACCTACCCATAAATGTAGAAATTCGTTAATATTTGTAACTATGTTGAGTCTATATATTATGATATAAGTACAGCATGAGAAATAGTAGCTTGTCTTTAAGAGTATACAGTGTAATATTTATGTCGTTTACTTCTTATCGTTTTGCAGCAACAAAAAACAGGGAATGAAATGATAAGGTGTCCAGTTTATTTACAGTTCATCTATGCTATACTCGACTGTTTAGGTTATACTCTGTTATTTGATCACTGAACAACCAGTCATTTTTCATTTATCTTATTCTGACTACATTTCACTAATATGGTATATATCGCGACTCATGATCCCAGCAACTGAAATTACTAAAATCTCCACAAAACTTTTTTCTGATAATAATCAACATATGCTCACTAGTGACTGGCTTCAAGATGTATATCCTGGAGTTCTAGTGGGAAGCAGTGACCAGTAGAGTTTACCCGGGTCATTTGTGAGATAGTTACTCGCCAATGACAATGGTGGATGTGTCGCTCGATTTCGTCGATTAGTTGAGGTTAGACATTAACACCATCGGATTCCGGCTTAGTGGTGCAGTAGGTTAAGTGTCGGCACGCGAGACTGAAGGCCCTGGGTTTGAATCCCGGAAGCAGGATCGTGGATACGCACTGCTTAGGAGTCCCATAATAGAAAGAAACGGCCGTCCAGTGCTTCCAAGTTTTCAATGGTGGTCTAACATCAATCGGTTCATGATCTCAATCAAAAACTTGACAATATCCACAACCTTTAATTGACCAATATATTTGTTAAATTATATACTAATCAATTTTTGTTGACCTAGTATTATAAATGCATTAGTCTTGAAAGTGGTTAGTTTGGCAGCTAACTGTTAAACTGTTCCAGAGGTCAGTCAAACGGTAGAAATAATGAAAATACAACAATATGGGTAAATTTTAATTAAACAACGTTTAACAGACAGTACTGTGTACATCGTTATCACATTGTAATATTCGTAGAAAAATCATTGACTACTGCAAAATACTGGATCAGATTCTAGTTCAAGTCTTGTTGAATGTTCTAAGGATCAAGTTGAATTAGAATCATATACATGAATAATAGGTTCAGTGTAGAATTATCGAATACCTAAATCATGATCCAATATATCAATTAATAGACCTATATTATTTAGTATTTTCTAGTCGTCTTTCATCACAACGAGTTAATGGTCACTATTTAATGGAATACTGTAACATATGTTCATTCATAAAGCAAATAGATTCTAGATTATAAACTGAGAAATTAGCCCAAATGAGATTTTATGAATATATATATATATATATATATATATATATATATATATATATATATATATATTACTGAAACACTAAATTCGTCCCATGTATGTTTGTTCATTTTAAGTTACAAGGTTATAGTTTATCGAGAAAGTAGAATCAAGGTTTACATCTGGTAACTTATAGAAATACATTTCACAGCAAAATTTACTAGCTTTTGTACAATTTGAAAAGATATAAGTCCATTTTGTTGACAACAACAACAAAGTAGTGTGAATTTATTCATGTTCAGTTAATATGACTGACTGACCAATTATGCCCGATGTAAATTGATTTCACGTTTCAACATGTACAGAACAATGTGCATCATATCTATTCGATTAGACAGATTTTTATTTAAAGGATTTCACATTTGTTTACTCTTTAACTTTCTACAAAAACTGTCTTATCAATTATTTTCGTTTCAAATTATTATTACCATCATTATCACAATTGTCTATGAGAAAATATACCAAATATTAATGGAAAAATACATGTAAACACTTACCACCTTAATTATATGAATGAATAAAACTTCAATTAGTCATTTCTAATTTTTCTTTTTATTGTCATATTAACTGTGGTTGTCACTACTTGATTATTCATTCTTTCATGTATAATTTGTTATATTTAAGTATAATATATTATCAGTTATACGCAACGTAGAATCTGGAACATGTATAAGTGCATTGACTCAATTTGTTATACTAAATTAAGATAACGAAATAAAATTGTTAAAACAAATAATAGAGTAGTATATGCAAAGATGAATAGTGGTTTGCAGTGGAATCCAGGATGCGCGTTTCGTCCCATTTGAGACTCGTTATCTGGATGTCAATGTTCACTCTGGGAATCGAACTATTACTGTTCGATTCAACTGCCACCGCGTTATCCACTTAGCTACTGAGAAGTATATGTAATAAAAATATAATTGATGACAGGAAAAATTAGGCTTCGGTAGTACGATTCGAGTAAAAAATATGGATTGATTGAATACAAAAATTTTAAAGTAATTTAGATTCTTACATGGTTATTATAAGAATTTTTGTCCTTTCTAAGAAACTAGAATGAACAGTGTTCGAGATTAGTTAGACAAGGTTACAAATGCAAATATTGTGGGTGTTTAAAATAATTCTTTCATATTTTATTCTGAACATTTATACAAGTTATATGGTGATAAAATTGTTTAGAATCAGGGAAATTTCATAAATGAACATCACCTTTATTTTGCTTTTACTAGAATGTGAAGTCTGTTTCTAGTTATAGGTTTGTTTCAAGTTATCAAGCTTTGATAGTGTTTTATTTAGGTATTAAAATATTATTATGTTATGGAAGCATTATTATTATCCCATTTTTTTTTTACATTCCATTAGTCTGTCAATCGAGAAGATCTATTTTTATACAACATACTCGGAAAATTAGTCTTGCCTAATGATTTTTAAACTACTCTGTAGATACAATAAATATTCAGAAACTAGAGATATAACATCCAATTAAAATACTGTTTATTTGTTAAAATCAGTGTTTAAACAAACTTTGATAACAGAAAGAGTTTGTTTAAAAACTTCAAAGAACATTCTATTAATTAAGAATGATATGAGTGGAATTTATTGATCTTTTTCAAATATTCTTTGTGAAATGAATGAATACCCCATTCAAATTCTCCTTTCTATCTATCTATCTATCCATATATATATATATATATATATATATATATATATATATATATATATATATATATATATATATATATATATATATATATTTGGGAAAGACAGATATGTACACCTCATAGGTGATTTAAGAATATTTTTTTCTGACAAAATTCCTTAGTTTCAATGACTTAAGCATACAAGACATAAGATTAAATGTTATGTGAGCAAACAAATTGACTGCCAAATTAATTTCATTTTTGTAAACATTTTAATACCTTTCCAGATAGTATTAAGAAATTAAATTGTTTTCGTTTACTAAACTGTATAAAACAAACAAAAAATACACTATGAGTATATCACAGATTAACATATAAATGTGCACGTCAGTTAAACTAACTTTCAGTGAAATTATAAACTATAAAGTCATTCATGAAACATTTCTGATTTGAACACCATTTATTCATCAGGCTCTTTAATAATCTTAATTCATCTAATAATAACTTTTTTCTTATAAATAAATCAATATATTTATAATATTTCAAACGAGTAGAAAAATTAAATTTTCTATAGTTTCGTGACTTAGAGTAAGCTACTTCTTCAGAGAATAAATATTCTCTCATTGGAATATTATATGTATATTAATTTATTTATAACAATCTACTCAATGCTCAATTTATTCGAAATTATCAAGTCAAACCTTGATAACGACACCTGTAATTTTTGTTTATCTTTTTGTAAATTCAACTTGGGCACGATAATTCATCACCGTTTACAACGTTGCATGGAGAATAGAACCATATTTCACAGTACTTATATTATAATATTATAATATTTTACATTAATGATATTTTACACCAGTCTTCAACATAATTGCAATGATT